GTAATCCAGGTCGCGTCCACCATGGCTCTCATGACTGTCAACTTATTACTTTCATTATCACCTACACCATTCTAATAATTCCTTCCTATTCTCGATTTCTCTTCTTCTCGTAACAATGTACGTATCGCTAGTAATAAAATACTTCACCATAGACCCGCAACCACAAGTCCTAACTTAGACCTAAACAGCACATCATTAAAGCTGCCCAGCCCAACATACTGTACTCCAGCTACACGGGCTATCCAGACTTGATCCAAGAGCACGCTTCAGGTTTCTCCAATCGCAGTTTCGGGGAGTCCTTGACCCAACGACGACACATCACCGCAGCTCGGCCACTCGAACAGGCCCATAAGTCGCCTCTCTCCAGCCCTTAACGAATACACACTTGGTGAAATCGACGAAATGATCTCTGTGATCATCCTTATCATTATAACTCTATTCCTACCTCCCATCGGTGTCTTCCTCGTGGCTGGCTGTGGTGCTGATCTGCTCATCAATATTTGTCTGACCATTCTCGGATTCTTCCCAGGTCACATCCATGCCTTCTACGTCGAATACGTCTACTATAAGCGCAAAGAGGAGATGAGAGCTGGCATCGTCGACACCAGACCTGCTCCTGGTGTCTTTAGCGACAGAGTAAACAACGGTGGCAGACGCCATGTGAGAATTGGTCGTGAGGAAGGGCATGTCGTACCACCCCAAAACGTGCCACAGCATTCTCCTGGTCCAGCTCCGTATCAGCAGTACCCAGCACAGGCACCTCCAAACTATGGTACTGTTCCCGTTCCTGGTCCCAAGTGAAGAACGAGCACAGAGCATGGAAAATCGATTGCAGCTCGGACAGGGAGTTTTGGCGTTATGGACATACCCATGAAGCTTTCTTTCTGTTGGTATGGTAGAGCTTGGCACGGAATGACTGCGATGATGTTATTCTAGATTGTTGTCTTGCAAGCATCTTTGATGCAATTCGGGACTACATGAATTGACGATGACCCTTCTCTACTCAACCAACCTCATGGAGTACAATATCTGTAGAAACGTTGAATTCAATCTTGAAATCAGGACATTCAATCCTCTGATCATCCACATTGACTGCAGGACCAAGTTCCTCAACACCACAACTTCGCATCTGGTGAACGTCCTTTGTTATCACCGCTATGCCCACGACTACAGCTATGCAGCACCAGTCTGCCTTCTTGAAATCATACTTGATGAAAGCCTGGCAATCTGCCACAATCAAACAACCTGAAAGTGATCGATGTCAATTCCGAGATGGACAATGACCTTAGTCTCAAAATCTCAAAAGTCTCATAAGGCTCAAGATCCTTTCAAGAGAGGCGATAAATGACAGCTTTCGACATAACGCGAAGTGACACGCCTTGATGCGAGCATCCGGTCACGCGAGCTTTGAGGTTAAAACATCGGTCCTGACAAGTATCGTTGGTGACTTCCTTGACATGTACCAGCACCTCAGGTGGGCAATGACGGGGGTGTCCTCAATATACATCTAGTCCACTGATTTGGTATCCTCGAATTCAGATCGTCACACCACAACTCCCGCCGATCAAGGCTCGGCGATTTCAAGGTAGCGCACCACGGTGAAATGTGTCAAGGACCTGGCCGGCGTATATCCATTCATCTGGAGGCTGCGCAGCAAGGAAATGGAGAGAATCCATTGTGGAGAAGGCGGATTGTAATCCTACTGGGGTCGTTCCTTTTATCCTTTTTGGTTCGAAGGACCAAGTCAGCATTATCTTGTCCTCAATATACCGCGCCCAATAAGCTGTCTGGTTCCTTCTCTTACAGTTTAGCTTTCTCGATGAATTTTTAGCAGTTTGCCCGCTGGCGACGGCGTTGTTTGTTGAATAATCCTTACACACCTGCAGGTAGTGGTAAAAATCGTCATTGGTTCCGAGATTTGTAAATTGACGATCGACATTGATAGACCGCTAGCAACAGGACTTCCAAAACACGCCACGAATCTGTCGCCATTTCTTCTGCAGCTGGAAGGTTTCGTTGAGAATCTCGGCTATCATCCATTGAAGTATTCTGTAGCTCCACGGTGACACCTCAGTCATCTCAATTGTCCTCCATCCTCCACCTCCCTCCTCCCTCCCCTATTATGAAGCGACGGTGTCGGGGACCTCGCGTCCTCCGCCTGATGAAATTTCCCGCGTCATTCGACGGGAAAGGACAAGGAGCTCGAGATTTTCATTGTAAAAGGACGCTCGTGTTGCGCGTGCGATTGACCTCCGATCGTGTGTTGGGTTCAAGGTTGACTTTCGGGACGTTCGCTGTGCTTCCAAGTCTGCTTGGAGCATCTTCGCTGTGTCGAAGTACCGAATTTTGTATAGCGAGCGAGCTCGACGCCTCACAAAGCATCTGTCAAAAGCTGAGGATGGCCATCCGGAGCCTGTTCGGGACTTGTAATAGCCAGCTAGCAATGCATTCCCTCAGGACAATACCTTGTCAGTAGCAGCTGAACAGCTTTGGTAGGGGTGTGAGGGGTTGACCTGAGAAAGATACTGCCAACTGGCAATCGAATACTGCCAACTGGCAATCGAAGAGCCTGAACAGAAGCATCAAAGACAGCTGGGAATTTCATCGAGCCATTGAGTCCCAGGCATGTACACGATGGTGACCGAGGTTGATGGCGATGTATCATGACAGCGTCTCAGTCAAATTAGGATGGAGAGGAACAGACGCGAGGATTAAGCTTCACCAAGCTTTTGCCAAGACCAAGTCTCTTGGGAGATATTCGAACGTCAAGTCTTGTCTAACGTCCGTGAAACATCAAAAATTTACTCGTTCTCATCTCTCTAGGGGCGTCGTCCATAACTATGAGACAACTGAGTGATGCTTGCTTACCAGCCGCTTCACCACTGCCCTTCCCGCGAGTGCCGCGCAAAGCTCGTCGTCAACAGACTCTTTTTGTCTTCGCTGAAGGCTGCGAGAAAAGACTTGCAACCCACTCATCTATTGAGAGAAATCACAAAAGAACGACCCAGTAGATACAACTATGCGAGGGACCGGTTGTTTTGCGATGTGCTGGGCTAAAGCAGGTTTCTCCAAACAGCTACTGTTCCCGTCAGGCCTGGCTTCACCACTAATGCTAACCTGGCCCTGGCCACCATTCGCGTACATCAATCTAGCGGCGCCGATAAGGATCTCTTACACAGTCGGAAGGTCCCTCTCTAAAGAATCAAACAACGATCGCGTGGAAGGAAAGGTTTTGTCCGAACAGCTAGATGAACAACCGTACGGAAGGCATATTGTCATGCCGGGAATGCGAGGTTGACCATCCGTGAACCAATTATCCGATAACATGGATACATTAATGTACGACCGTCAGGGGGCGGAGGACCTGCGTTTCATGCCACATCTACAACTGACCACTCACACAAATCGCGCAAATCGTCAACCCATAGAAGCCACTGCATAGTCGCAGGTTAGTGGCATAAGGCTTTACACAAGGTCGTGCGATTGGACAAATCATCGGCCGCAGCATGCAACGCTCCTTACTCTGCCTGGGAAGGACTCGGAGTCCTGCCCTGGCGTCAAGTCAAGCAATTTCACTGAAATGCTTAAATAGGTGCCTTCCGTCCCGCAAGCTTCTTTGCTCTGCCCATCCAAGATCATCAAGTTTGACCTCCAATCAAGTTCACCGTCAAAACTTCAATCGAGACTCATAAACATAGATTCGTCTATCGACCTCGTATGCATGCTTCACCCCCGCCCAGTTTGTCTCATTAACTCGAGTCACAGCAGAATGCCTTCCACTACCTCCAGCATTTCCTCCATCGTCAAGCCAAAGCCCATTGAGCACCCCTGCGGTGAATCTTGCGAGTGCTGCGGCATTGCCGAGTCTTGCAGCTGCGTCGTCATGTAAACGCACAAACACGAACAACAAATCAAGTCGGGGAAGTGGGAACGGTCAGCGAAGGGAGTTTGGCGATGATAATACAAATATGAAATCATATATGAAGCGTTACGATTTCAAGTCAAATTGAATCACTTCATACTCCCCTTATCATTTGGCATCGTAACCTTGCAATCTTCCGTTATAAGGAATCAGTGAATGTCTGTTCCCCTGTCTGCTCAGAAATCTCCTGCACTTCTCGAAGCAACCTCAGGAATGAATTTTGCCAGGAACTTGTCTATATCGATCCAAACTTACGAAATGCATAATTGAGACTGAGATCGAGAGAGAATTGGCACGTTGAAGCCACTATACCATAGTAGATCTGAAGATACCAACCAGGACTCACAAGTCACTTCAGTCGAGCTCACTTTAGCCGCACACCTTTAAGGTTCTCCCTGTTTTAGCCGCACCCTGTCGATAAAGTGAGCCTGTGATCACACGATATGGTCATTCCATCACCCAATACGTCGTGCAGCACCCGATCCAACCAATCAGATAGCTGTATTACTTGTGTAAGGTCACACATACCTTTCCTGAAAAGTGGGTCTGTGACCACATGATAATGCACTTCGTGGTCAATCGTGCATCTGATACGTCATGCAGCACCTCATTCGACCAATCAGATAGCTCTGTTACCTTTATGAGCTTACACATTCCGTTCTTCAAAAGTGGGACCATATGGTCCGAGCGTCTCTGCCTACCTACATAATATCTTAATGTCGGCAGGCTATCAGAACTTCTCTACCACGGTTGAGGACGTCTATATTATGTAGGTCTCTGGGGCCCATCAAAGTTCTGAGCTGCGGCTTGGACTTTGGGGGGTCTCAGTGAAAAATCGTATTATGTGTTGGATGCCTTGCTAGAAAACTGATAAGAAGCGACATGAATGAAGAAAAAGGAGAAAACTAGTTGGGCGATGATAAGAGGCTCAATGTCCACGCCATATTGTGCTGGGTTTCACGGGTGGCTTCACCGAAGTCGAACCGGTGTGAAGGGTGTTTCAAATTGTTGCTCATCATCAAGTTCCAAATGTTTGCTACATTGTATTGAACAAAGTAAACAATTCAGTCTGGAATCGGCCCGCGTGGCTCAGGGGTAGAGCGTCTCACTCGTAGCCACGCAATGAGAAGGTCGATAGTTCGAATCTGTTCGTGGGCACGATCCTTTTTTGCTCTTTTGATATCTGGTACCCGGTGTATGTCGGTCGTACCTCCGCGGTCGCGAAAGTCAGGCTGCTAAAGCACGGATCCTCACTAAAAACCGTAAATTCTTAACTTTCGGCGGAGATTAAAGCTTCTATAGACTATATATAAAAATTCTAAAGAGATAGAAAGATTTTAAATTATCTCTTTTAGCTATACCGTAATTCTTAGATTATTTTATCGAAGGGAAAAAATTCTAGAAAATAGGAATATTATCCTTAAGGATAATTTTCCCCGTAAAACGGCCGAGAAAAGAGAGAAAAAAGAGTCTTCTTTTAGAGATAATAACCTATAAACTATCTATATAAAAGATCTAAATAGACGAGAATCTACGTAGAGATACTTTCTAACTTTCTATCTCCTAGGATTTTTTATATTTTCTATAGTTAAGCTATAATAAAGGAGGAAAGAAATCTTATTTTTAGTCTTTTTCTCTTTTCTCTCTTACTACGGCGTCGTTATAAGAGCTATCTTATATCTTAGATACTCGTTTTAAAGCTACGGTTATCTTCTTTCTACTCGTATATAAATTATATCTATACCTTCTAAAATGGTTAAGTTATCTTAAGTTAAAGTTGGTAAGATTGAAGGGGACCAGCCGGACTTTCGCGACCGCAGAGGTATGGGCATGACTATGGAGGCTACCGGTGGCCTCCCTCGGCGAAACTAAGATAAGCGTAATCTCGCTTATATCGCGCTTTCTCGTTCGTTACTAATAAAGCTTACTAACGAAGCTATAATATACGATAGAAACCTAAAGTTACTCTCCGACTTTCGAAAGTATCTACGGCCTTATAGTCGTTCCTTTCGAAGCCCTCGTCGTCCTCCCTTTTGGAGGCTACCCTTTCGGAGGCTACCCTTTCGGAGGCTACCCTTTCGGAGGCTACCCTTTCGGAGGCTACCCTTTCGGAGGCTACCCTTTTAGAGGCTACCCTTTCGGAGGCTACCAGGCCACTTTCGGAGGCTACCCTAGAGCTACTCTTTTAGAGGTAATCTTCTTAAAGGCTACCTCTCTTATAAGATAACGAGAGAGAGGTAGCCTCTAAAAGGTAGGTAGCCTCTAAAAGATAGGTAGCGTCTAAAAGGTAGGTAGCCTCCGAAAGGGTGGCCTCCGAAAGGGTGGCCTCCGAAAGGGACGGCGACCTTCGAAAGGAACGGCGACCTTCGAAAGGGACGGCGACCTCCGAGGTCGAAAGGGACGAAGCGGCTTAGAATACAGCTTTATTAGTAACGAACGTAAGGCTAAGGTATCACGCTAAAGCAAGCGAGATTGCGCTTGTTTAATTTCGCCGAGGGAGGCTACCGGTGGCATGGCCACCGGTGGCCTCCATAGTCATGCCCAGAGGTATCGGTAAAACCATGACAATCCCTCAAGACTTCCGTCCAATGCGGGGACGGGAGTGGAGCTTCCTAGCGCTAGGGGGAAGCCCGCGATCAGCAGGGACTCCTAGCATTTTCTTTTCCCCTTTTCCTCGCACTCCATAACTGTATCACACTCCCATGGGTTACTTTCTTTCCAAGCAACTGGCAACCTTTTGCCGCTATTCGACGATCTGGTCTGCCATCCGCAGCCATAGTCATGTCAGCTATGACCAGATGGAGAGTGAGAGACTTGCCGAGATGGTCATTAGATTCCATATCCCAGACTTCCGTTCAGGATCACGCTATGTCCAAGGCTCCTACATTCAAAACGCAAACCTTGAACACATCGTCGCCGCCCACATCACCACTAGCACACGAAACATCAGCCTTAGACATTATGAGCCTCACAGTGTACGTGGACAGAGAGTTAGTCAGAGCAGAGATATTCGAAATAGATGACCGATACGTCGCCCCGGCGTTCAATCCAACCATCAATAATTCGACCCGCGATCTAATACTAGTCGAAGCCACAGCTCTCAACGAAGCTCGTCTTTTGTGTGGTGAGGCAATGACACTCGTCACCAAGAAAGCAGCTCGCTCGAATAATCATCCAGAAATTGCCTCTGCGCATTCCCACAAAAGCGCCAATCACACCAAGATGAAGAGGTCGAACTGTCCTTATCCAGAAAACCTGAAGGCTCTACTCCCTGTTTTCATCCAAAACGACGCCAAAGACGACTATTTCTATACTGACCAAGCAGTCAAGAAATTGCTTTATTACAGACGAAACCGAGAGCTCTTTGCACTTGTCATTGGCCCAGGTCCTTCTTATTGATCGAAGCCAAGTGTCGCTCACTCCTTTGGACATGATTGGGGAGAAGAGCATCGCTGGCCGTAGCCTTTATGCACATCACCATTCCGTGCTCCTCAGCAAGTTCAGTGAAAGTGCCGACAATGCGATCAGCGGCATTGGCTTTCGATTTCTACAAGGTCCGCCTGCGAGCGACGGGAAAGATCCGGAAATTGGCTGTGCCACTCGATAGGGAGCGACTAACTTTCAAGCCAGGATCTTTGAGGTTACCTGCGATGAAATTATCCGAGACTCCTTTACAGATCTGGAAGATTGTGGTCAGCTACTTTCCAATGCACTAGGCTGGTGTTTAGTAGTAGAAGCTCGCCAGTACAATGCTTGATTAGAAACAATGGGAAATGCAACGGAAAGAGCCACTTGACTCGATCACGTAGACCCAGAAGCCACTGCAAGTAGGGAATTGGACTTTCACCGGTTTGAAAGGGTATAGGGACTTTAGTGTGACCAAGAGCCGGGAACTCAGTAATATCACTGGGTTTTGGAACAAGGAGCGAGGTGACTGATGACATTCTAAGCTGATGAAAAGTCGATGTCAGTCTCCTGTTTTAGCAGATTGTACTTCGTTCCTGAGTTCACTGCGAAGCCGTCGCTTCACATTCCTTTGTCCCACGACCGAGAACAGGTCGATCTTCCTAACGAAACTTCAACACTATTGACACTTCGCGAACTGAAGTCCAATAAATTTCCATAAATTCCGTGGTGTTCATATCGAAATGAGGCTTTTGGATTCGAAATGTCACTCTGATTGGGAATCGGCAAAGGCGACGTGGACTGGATGCCCTCGTTGGGACCCGACAGCTCAACTCACCTCAACTCCACAACCAAAGATTTATGACCCAGAGAACGGTTGCTGTCAACACTCTTTCCAGAAAGATCTATTAGTACCTGAGGAAAAACCGCAGAACCCAAATATGGCAATACGGAGTCGCAACCGTCCGGGATCCAACCGCACACTATCTTCACGCGTTGTTTGTTTTTGTTTGCCTGCTATATCCGCAGGAATGGGCCGAGTATCGGAGGTGAACTCGGGCTATGTTGACATCTCCTTCACATTGTATGAACGATAGCACGAACAACAAATTCAATCATGGAAGGTCAAAGTCAGCTGGACGATCACATCGTTGGCATCAAGCGCGACATCAATGGTCTCATCCTACAACTCGAAAGACTTCGACGAGGCGAGATGGAACGAGATATTCTGCATCAGATTAATCACAAGCATGAGATTATTGTGAGTTGGAGCCCAACGTCCTGGGTACAAAAGACTAATGAAATTTCCAACTAGCAAGCTCTGCAACGAGATCAACAGGAACGCAATTTTTTACGCCAAATCAACCACAAAAATGAGGCCATTGTGAGTGTAGACCCATACTCATGAGTGGGAGAAACTGACGGGTTGCCACTAGCATGCTTTGCGGATCCCCGTGTCAAAGGCAATGTTACCATCATCTGTGGCCAGCTCAGATGCGACGTTCTCTCTCACGTCCTCGTCAGTTACTCCTACCAGCACTGATCCCACCTCTTTCAACAGTTCACAGGACTCAGTCGATGCCTTGGACGACTCCTTCCTCATTGAATTGGAGGGCTCAGATCACGAAGTCCCAACGACCCCTCACTCTACCTCTCTTCCGAGTTTCTCGACCTTTCTCAAGCCAGCATCGCCTTCGCCTTCACCAAGATTGAATACTCCAGTCGAACCAGGCACGTGCCCACTCTGCGGTCGCCGGTGCTCTCTAGGCAATATGTGGCGTCATAGGAAGACGTGTCTAGGGCGCTGCTTAGATTGTACAAGATCACAAACCGTCTGCGACGACCGCGGCCGAGGCGCTCCATCTCACGATTGCAAAACTTGTCAAGACAAATGCACGCCGTGCTTATACCTCGACAAAGGCGATGGGAAGTGGAAGCCCAAAATCGAATTTGCTCACATTACTCGATTCACTCGGCTCGCTCGACTGGCTCGAAGTCGCGAGGAGATACGCAAGGAGGAGGAAGGCAGAATGTACGGCGGTGGATGATGGGGATAACTTACCTACGAGGCTTACGGCTTATTTATAGGTATGCAGGAACAGAGAGCAGGCTTACAAAAGATGAATACACTTGAAAAGTTCAAGTCTGTGGCGTGGATGAGGTGGATGAAATGGATGAGGTGGATGAGGTGGATAAGGTAGATGAAGTGGATGAGGTGGGTGAAGCTAACGGAATCTCGAAGAGACAGTCCCTCCTATATAAAGGATCCTGAGATAACCTTATCTGAAATCAGCTCCATTATCTATTCCCGTACATTCCATTAATCAGGCTTCTCGACCCTAGGAACGTGCTTTCATTTCGAGCCTTTTCAAGAGTCAATCTATTTACGGGGTTCTGAATAAATATGAGGCTTCTTGAACACAGATCCCGTGGGAAAAGGTGGCTTGGCAGTAATCTACATTGATGTGGCCGTTCACGGGGGTGGTGTGACCGTGGTGGCAGGACCGACGAAATGAAATCTTGCTTCCGAGTCTCACGACTCACTGTTCGATCATCGATAATGTGATGCAGCTTTTCTACCCATGACCAGTATGGCTAACTTTTGGTGAACATCAGCTCCGAGAGTCCCAGAAATCTGTCGACCTCGAAGTCGAATTTGCAGATCTTATCGGTCGTTTTCAGGAATCGGCCATGATTGTCTTTAGAAATCCGGTCGTTCGGAGTATGACTTTGAGCATTACATGTCGAATGAT